CATTACCTGTACTAGATATGTTCATTACCTGTACTAGATATGTACATTACCTGTACTAGATATGTACATTACATAATGTAATTGTCTGTTATAAGAAACGTCCTGGCGTGATCCCGCAATGCCGGAACACGAAGCATTCAAAACCTACCATAAAATATCTCCTATATCTAGCTAAACAACCCATTTACTTAATCGGGCAATTATGCGTGCACGTATTACGCATTGCGACTGCCATGTTGTATTTAAACTCTTTTTCATTCGCGTCAATTTTAGGACGCAAACCAAATATTCAATACAGAAACGCAAAAGTTTCATCGCGTTCTTATTTTTTTTATTTTTTTTTTATTTTCATTTAACTTTGTGGTTAATGCCAGCGCACATTTAAATGTCCAAGTAAATTTTTCTAACAGTACCACAAAGCTAAACGCTCCCAAAGGACAAATCAGCGTAAAATATCATCAGCCGCTATGACCTCTAACAAACAAACTTAACTGTCTTCGCGATAGACGGATATTTTCTTTAGGCGGTTAAAACGGCTAATAGCTGATCATGTTTTGCTCAGAAGCCGGCACATCTGGATTTACTTGAAGGTTACATTATACATGTCAGTAAACGCTTATGAATTATACAGTTTTGTGTTACAATATTTATCAAACAAAGAGAAACGTTGACAGTAATGACTTGTTCAGATTGTTTTTAAAACATCCCTAAACTTAAATAAACGCCAAAAATTGAACAGGTTCATATCATAATGTCAACGACAAGCTTCAGCTCGAGTGTCTCGCACATTTGAAAAATAACTTCGCGAATTATAACGTTATAGATTATTCATAGGTACATCAATGAACTGCAACTAATTAACACAAATCGATAGACCTATCTGGCTGATAAATAGTAGCACGCAAAACCGAAGGAACTACGTCAATCGTTTAAATAGTTAGAAATCAATAAATTAGGGACAGTCATAGGGTACAATCTTTATAAGAGGACCACAGATTAAAAGAGGACCACAGATTAAAGAGTCATTGAAGATACGAGGTTTGAGTATTTGATGGAACCCCTTTCTCTAATATATGAATATATTCTCTCAATGTTGTAATAATATCTTTGCGATAAACTCTTGTGCGATAATGTAAGAATATTTACAGTACATCAAAACAGCAAGGCGGTGTTTTCAAGGCTGAATAGTTTAACTATAAGGTCAGTGATTATTTTAACGTCAGATATAAATGACGACAGGAGATCATACGTCATTAAAACGTAATGATATACAATCAAAGTAATGAGGGTCAATAGTGCCACACATAAGTAACTATCACAATAGTGCCACACATAAGTAATTATCACAACGATAACAAGTCATTACAAAAGTACAGTAACGTCATGGATATCGGTATGTAGGGATGAAAATATGATAAACAACAAATACTTAGTATTTCCTTTAAATAAATATGTATTATTTTCACTTTTCATTGCACAATGAAATATTACTGCATGATAATTTAAGCAACTTAATCATGATACAGATGTCAATTACCTACACATGTTGAAATACACATGTCCCTCTCTGTATCATTCAAAAATCACCATCACTTTTCATGCCGTTTTAAAAGGAGTGAAAATGTTCTTTCGACAACATAAACAGGATCCTGGGCAGAGAGATGTTGACCTTTACCCTTCCCTGTGTACGGTAATTATTAAACTCTTAGAAATATATGTACTGGATCATGGTAAGTGTGAACATTTTCGGGCACCTTTCTTTTGTGTGAAGTGTTGGCATTTATTAAAAGTTCTAAACTTTTTTGACAGCAGAAAATAAGGAAATTGATTTCTACCTTTCCAGTAGTTTATCATTACCAACACCCAGCAGGATCCTATCTTAAAAAACTTTCAATTATTCGCTAGAATTCCTTAAATCTTATCAGAATTTTAACAACATGCTGATGTATGTGTTGCTTCTATACATATTCCAATTAAATCACATCACACATTCACTGTGTTCCTAGCCACGACCTCCAAAGCCAAAAACACAAATAACAAAACATAAACAATAAATCTATAATTATAAAGTTTAACAAGACATACGGTAAAACAAAACATGTGGTTCCCTTACCTACGTTACAGTAGAGGTGAGTGACATCCTGTAACTCAGGGATTTCAATATATCACAATCAAACACAAACAATGGGATTCGTAGTCTACATTCACTTTGTTCACCAAAAAATACACGTTTCCCTCTCTGTATCATACAGAAATCACCATCACTTATCATGCTGTTTTCAAATGAGTGAAAAGGTTATTTCGACAATACAAACAGGTTTGCCTGATTTATATATCTGGCTAGCCAGGTTATGTCGATATCAATCTCATAACAGCGAATCCCACACGCCTTAATGTTTGTAGGACCTATGTTTTGACTATTCTTTGAAACCGAATGCATAACCCGTAACTCATAGTTGCTTTGTTCCGAGACATTTTGTGTCCATACAAAATAAAAGTATCACTGCTTTTTTCTATGTAATAAAAGTTTTCTTAACATTTAAATTGGATTAGTTCTGTCATATAAACATGGGTATCACTTCCGACATACATTTGTAGGAATTGATCTTTCACTATCGTGGGTAACGTCATACAAAAACAGGTAGCTTATCATTTCACTGGGAAACAATTATTAAAGGCAAAGTTTAATTTCAAAACTCAAAGTTTGATAAAATATTGATACAACTGAAATAATTGATTTGAGCAATGTTGCTGATAACAGCTTTCCTCTTGTATCTTATAATTGTATACCATTCGCTCCAAATCAATTCAATATCATTGCTATGATCCAGGTGAAGGTGTCGTGACATCTGCTCACAATGACTTCTTATACCCTTTTAACTTCTACTTCAACAAAGAACATTCAAATACACATACAAGCAGATTATTAAAAGGCATCTACAGGTTGAACTGTCAATAATTTTTACAAAAAATATGGGTATTGAGCAAATAGAAAATAGATTGAAATATTAATTAACTATTGCAGTTTAACAATATTAAACCCAGTGTCATAGTTTAACTGACCCATTTGCATGAAATTGCATAGATTTAATTCCAAACAATCAAGCCAATGAAAGACATGCATGGCCAAAGAAAAGTATTAAAACAAACAATTGCATTATTTGTTATTGTTGCACACATTTACATTATGTTAAAAAGAATCACAACACACACACACACAAACCAAATTTCTAACAAAAAGTTCATTTTCACTTTCTCATTATATGTCAAATTTGCTTTTTTTGCACAATAAAAAACTAACGTTATTCATACAAAGTATAAGAACATCTACATGCACTTACTATGTATATTCCACATAATCATCCAAAACACCTTTACATGAATTTCTTAACAAGAGGCCCATGGGCCTTAACGGTCACCTGATATATTTATACAGAGAGTTGATTTTGTTTTTAACATGTACAGAAATATTATTCAAAGTGACAAAACACAATAAAACCACCTTATTCAATATCTAGCATACAGATTTAAGACTAAAAAGTATTTGAAACTAGCACCTCTGATTCTAATCAAGGAAAANCCCTTTTTGGCCCCACCCATCAGCCCCTGGGGGTCAGTCAGGGCTCATAGGTGCATACTATCAAACTGCTACCTAATACTGATAATGCTAACCCAAATTGAATTACTTCCAATGGAAATTAAACAAATGTTGGTCCAAAATGTGATTTCCCTATATAAACTATAGTAAAGTTTACCCCCTCCCCAGGGGAAAACGTGAGACCCCAGGGTCAAGAAATTCACAATTTTGATAAAGCACCTTAAGACCCTTCCATCTATGAAGAGTATTTGATTCTACCATATCTGGGTCTTGAGAAGAAGATTTTTGAAATTTTAGTCAATTTGACCCTTTTTGGCCCCGCCCCTCAGGCCCGTGGGGGCTTGGGACTAAACCGGCAACTATTTTCGTTGACCTTTGTCCATGGAAGGTTCCTGCAAAATTTCATTGAAATTGGTTCAGTGGTTTTGGAGGAGAAGTCAAAAATGTAAATTGTTTACGGACGCACGCCGGACAAAAGGCGATCGCAATAGGTCACTTGAGACTTTGTCTCAGGTGACCTAAAAAAACACAGTGTGACCGAAAAACGTACCAAAAATAGTGTACGCACATTGTGCATATATCATGTGCACACCGTCCACACATGGTAAGCACAACTGTGCGATTTAACAATCGTTCGCCGCGTTTTGCGATTTGGTACATTTAGTAAATAGTATAAACAAAATATTAAACAGTGCTAAACAAACACGTACCAGTATTTTTGTACAACAGAAATGTCTAGCCTTAATTTGCCAATTGCCAACATTTTCAAATCACACAAGTGTAATAAGCTTCGGTTACGTAAAATTACTGTTATTTTCCATATGCTACAAACACTAAATAACTCTTGTATAGTTTATATACGGTATGGACTTATATACACTTCTTACCATATAGGGTCCGATACATGAGTGTCTTAGAAATTTGATACAATGAAAATGGTATAAGCTAAGATATCTGAATAGTGTTTTTATTTCCCAATAGTGAAAAATTTAAAAACAACAGTTGAACAGCAAAAGTGCTACATGTACTCAAAGTCCTTTTTGTTTTATTTTGACAGTACATGAAGAATAATTGTCTTTAGCATCACAGTTAAGATCATGTTAGTGGGGTGCATTTCCAGTGTGATATATGTGTTCATTGATTCTCACACTGATGGGCAGATAAGCATTAAGCAAATATAAAACGCCTTCACTGGTTGGGAAATAGTGTAAAAGTAAAACACAATTGTTTTTACTACAATTATTTTTTATATCCATTGTCTACATGTACCTACTGAAAAGAGTATCGATTATCACTCATAATCCCACTTTCTATGAAGGCAGGGACAAGTAGGTCGCAAATGCTTTAGAAACATGTTTAGTTTTGGAAATTGACAGGAGTATTATAGGGAACTTATACTGAAACAAAAAACATTTGAACAGGGCAAAGTTGCTAGTACCTGGTACTCAATAAGAGACTAAATTGTCCAATAATTTCCCATATATCAAATATCAAATATGAACTATTTCAAGCTGGTCCAGTTTCCATGAGTTCTGAGGTACCTCTTATTAAGGCAAACAGCATTACTTACATTAGCAACTATGTGTTTGATCATCACTCTTAAGGACTGTATGTTTATTTGAACAAGCAGTGTTTAAGTTATATATATATGTTCACAGAACAATAACATCAAAGATATACCCACTTACAATGGCTACCTATACTACATTTTCAAACATTACCAGAAACATTTCTTTATATGGCCTAATCGCAAATTGCATATATATCTAATAAAAACACTCTTGTGTACTGGCCAAGTACTGGTCGCAGGTTGGCGATTTTTCTCTGGGCACTCGGGTTTTCTTTCACCACCGAAACCTGTAACGTCCTTATATGACCATAGCTAATAGGACATAAATACAAACAAACAAACATACAAACACCTTTGTAAGGGGTTTATAACTTTTCACAGTACTAAATAGATGCAGTGCCAAAACAACTTCACTCTGACATATCACAGACTACATGCGGGCATACAATGTAAATTGGGTCTGGCCTTGACACATATCTGTTTTACACTGAACCAAACTAAACTCAGGATTTACAAGATTCAATTAAGAAAATATGTGTTCATTAAAAGATTTTTCACTTCAAGTCAAACAGAACATTTTCTTGTTTCATATAAAAGGAACATAAAGGAAATGTTTAACATAGCATGGATGTGTAAATATCATTGTAATGTACTGCAAATCACTTTTATTCTGTGAGCAAAGAGGTCCTTAACAAGTGACGGCTTGTTTTTATTCTACCTAGAATCATCAAATACAAATGTATAATGACCTTTACAGAGCATCCTTTCACAATTAGTTTATACTAGAAGCTAAATTATAAATCAGAAAAGAACATTTTATCCATGATTTCAGTTTAAACCAAAACTCTGAGAATTATGATGTCTTGATGTAACTTGGAACAAAGTTTTGTTAGTTTAGGTTTCTTTTACTTCTATGTAAGCGTAAAATACGGGTTACTAATAAATAAAGATAGCATTATCATTTCTAAAAGTCTAAAATGAATTCGTTATATACTGTTATACAGTGACAATACAAGTCACAGGCACAATTCAAATACAGAAATAAAGTCACAATTTTTTAACTGATGGCTTCCTAAAAAATGCTGAAATGGTTTCAAAGCTTGGGAATGGCCATTCAAATTCATTGGGCACAATGCCATCACACTTGGACTCAAAGAATGAAAAAAGTGGAAACCAGATACGTCTTCGATTTTTGTCACGCAGCATGAGAGAACGGTTGTTGGCAAGGACATGGTAGTAGAGGAAAAGCCTGGAGGAGATGTAGAAGGCGATGAAAACATCAATGGAATAGTGTTCGTGGGCAGCCAGAATGAAGAAAAGGCCAAACATATTGGCCACCCATGTAAGTGTGTGTAGGTAGTAAGAGCAGTACTTTCCATGGTGCGGCGTGTCTGAAGACAAAACAAAATTCACTTCATAAAGGTTGGGCTGTTCTTACAAACATTTATTCTTACATCCTCAATTACACATGGTATCTATATAAATGTATAATGAATTATTTTGTAAGATCCTGGCATGGCTCATTTTTGTGCACCTGTAATATATAACTATTACATTCAAGTGACAGTACCTAAAGCCACCCAACAAAATATCACAAACACCCACAGTAGCGACCAAAGGTACGGTCATCCTCTAATCATTATATCTTATATTTAGGGGATAACCCCGATGTATTTTGAAATTTGCGTCGGTATGTCGTGATTATACTGTGTCAAATTGAGTTTTACTGGCTACGCAGAGCGCTAAAATTGAAATTTGTACTGCCGAAAATCTCAAAATACAGGAGGGTTGTCCTCGTTCTTATTCAACTCAGCCAAAACCACCAAAAGAAACGTGATTTTAAATTATGGGTCAGTCTGCTGTGGATTGGTAATGTCAGGAATATTCAACGTGAGGCGGAATGACGTGGACCTTCTCAAGGTCACACTATTGTTCGTGACGTCATGAATGATCAATTTCATGACTTGTCAGGGTCAGTTGGGTCACTGACGTCATTAACATGTGCAATACGGGCCTCATATGCAAATGAGAAATTTTTGAACAGTACGTCGTGGTAATATTGTCGCAAATATTTTGCTTGACCAATCAAATGTTGTGTTACATCTCAAATGAAATAGAATTAACCATTTTAACTTGACTAAAAGACATTATTCTAGGAAAGAACCCTTCCAGCCACTGCAGGTGTCATCTGATCACTGTTTACCACCTTTGGCTTGGCAATAAGATTTTCATATTACTCAGTGATCACTAAATGATAGCCCCAGTCACATATATCTACCTAGAATAGGGATAAATAGTGCCTTTTTCTTCTGTAATGTTCTGATATTTTATTATCTATGCTTGGAAGTTACTTTTGGTTTACTCAGTGTTAAATATGAATGTTATAGTAGTAATTGGAAGATTACAGCACCAAATGTTTTTACTGGAAATTACACTTATCGATGTGGCCTTGAATCACTCATTTGGCTTTTTCAGGAATGAGGATGAAATCTGAATAAAGTTTGGGAGGAGAGCCTCAAAGAATATTAGCCACTTAATTTGGGTAACTTTCAACCCCAATGGGCTATCACTGGTGACTACAAATCAAATTTCTTCATTTCCTTAGATTTTGGAACACATCTTAATTTCAAGAACCATATATATCGGTATTATACAATGAATTACAGTAAAAACTTATTCAGTTTTATATTCAGAGATATCTTAATTTATTTTGCCCAAATCTGAGGAAATTTAGGAACTGGTAGTCACGACACCAGTGTTTGCATGTAACCACTACCATTTGGTTAAAACCTGCCTAGTATTTGAGGAAAAGATTTTGTTTAATAAAGCAAATTTTCCAATTCCACCATTTTGACCCCACTCCTTACAACCTAACATAGGTACAGGGTAACCCCATGTATTTTGACATCTCTTATACTCTTGATCCTTTATAATTAAAATGAAGCACCACTATATAAGATCATCCAGATACTCCAGAACAGAGAGTTAAAGGTGTCTGTAAGACATAAAGACACAAAATATGTGTGAAAATATTTGCATAATACTTTTAATAGTTTGGACATATCCGACAGATTTCTGAATTTGTTTGGATATGTGGCAGTCAGTCACGCCTGTTTCCACACCTATGGGTTGGTGGCAATATATAATGTACTTACATTCTGTAATGAAGAAGTTGAGCAGTGTAATACAGACAGTATGTCCACTGAACATGTAGTCCCCACACGTCCGCACTCCGGACAAAGACATGCCCATCCCCATCCAGATCTCCATCGTACGTTGTGCCTTTGCCCAAATGTCACCATACATCTGTAATGGGGGACACGATTAAAATCAAAAACATTTTGTAAACAAAACAACACAAAATGTTGAATCTAGATGCAGGTTTTGTTATTCCATTCCTTGTTAATCTAATAATCAGTCCAACAAAAATAAATATTCCAGCTTCACAAAAATTTCTCAGACATATTAATCAGGGTTATCTAGAAAATGTTACATCCAATTTAATTTTCAGTTATATAGAAATTATGGGATGGACATCAAACTATGTGTATTACTTTTTTAACTTTGCTATAACTCATTTTACATGTAGCCTTTCAACCACATATTTGATATAGTTTTAGTTTACTGTGAATCTTGAAAATGTTATATTATTTCACATTGCTTAATTAAATTGTACATAGGTTTTTGTTTTCTTACCTTTCACACTTAAGATGTGGGCTAGGCACAGACAGAGATGTTATCAGCATCGTGATACAGCGTAGGAGGTAAACTGTAGATAGGTTTTGTTTTCTTACCTTTCCTTCACACTTAAGATGTGGGCTAGGCACAGACAGAGATGTTATCAGCATTGTGATACAGCGTAGGAGGTAAACTATACATAGGTTTTTGTTTTCTTACCTTTCCTTCACACTTAAGATGTGGGCTAGGCACGGACAGAGATGTTATCAGCATGGTGATGCAACGTAGGAGGTAAACTGTACCGATGATGGAGAACACTCTCCTCAGCAAAATAAATCTAAAAATAGAACACAGCAAAATCAAACCAGAAACACACTCCTCAGGTAAATATCTTAAAACATTCCTCTGCTTAAGTGCTTTACATACACATCATTTTGTCAGCAAATCCACAGTCAAAACACCATATTTATGTAGCATTTTATTTATTTTCTTGTCCTGACCCTTTTGTTAATATTGGATGCAGTAAATGTGTTACAGACTTAACAAATGCCGATGCTGTAAGCACTATTTATACTTATATAAAAATGGATATAGTATATAAATGTTTTATAGACTTTAAAATATTGGATGCAGTAAGTGTCTCATACTTTGTAGACTTACAAATATAGGATACAGTAAATAAACTTCAAGTTACCTTAATTGTTTGTTCAGTAGCTATGTAAATATCTACGATAACAGTGTACCAAAACTGACCCCAATAGACACAAAACAACAATACCTACTTAAATATTGAGGTTTTTTAAATTTTGTGCTTAAAGGGAAACAACTCTATAATAAAACCTGTTATATATGTTAAACATGTTTGGTTTTTGTATTTTACCATACTGAATTTGAAAAGGAATTAAACAAATAATTAAAAAGTTTCCCTTATTTGGTAATCAAACAGGGGCATATACTTTGCCGAATAGTGTTTAAATATCATAATTTAAGAACTCATACAAAGCGTTTAGGTAATGAAACAACCAAGTAGTTAAATAAAAATCAGAGAACAATTGTTTGAGTTATCATGTAATTACATATAAACAAGAAAAAATAATGACAACAAGAATTCAAAGGGAGTGGATGTGTCGCCTGCTCATGATCAGCACTTTTAGTAAGAAAAGTGTTTTGGCTTTAGTTATTGCGTAAAAGGATATGCCGAAACGTGGAAAGTTGAAACTCGACAGAAAAAACTGTAATATACATGAACGTTGAACATTTTTGCTCCTAGCATTGACGTACAAAATTTGAAAGGAATTGATTAAAAAATAAAAAAGTTCTTACATTTACTTCACAATTCCCTTATTTGGCAATAAAAGAAGTATAACCCCGCCAAAAATGCACGTAAACTTCTGAAATGCGAACTTGACAGAAAAACCCATAAATGTTGAACATTACATTGCTTCTAGCATTACTGTACAAAATTTGAGAAAAAATAATTAAAATTAAAATAAAAATAGTTCTTGCATTTACTAAACTACTACACAATGCACTTTTTCGGCAAAAAAAGGGCAGAACTCAATAAAAATATGACCCCTCCCCCTCTTCAAGCATCAACTGAATACAAGTATTGACTTACCTGTGCTTATGGAACACCAGCACAATACTCCAAATTGTTCCAAGACAGACAGCTATGATTTCACATGCTTCAAACGCCCATGGAGTATAAGGTATGTTGTCTAAGAATATGTCAGGAAGGGGAGGATACTTGTCTGTGTCAGGGACTCGATCATGAACCACAACCATTACAAATGAAGTCACCAAAAATACTGTAAATGCATAAAGGAAACCAAGTATTGTCTTCCATATTTCTGAGTCTAAATGTTTTGATTGTCGAGGGCTCCTTTCTGGCTGGAAACCTTCTTCATGTAAGTATTCCCTATCATTTTCTGATTCAGAATCTTCACTATCTGAGTAATGGATGTTTGTTCTTCTCCTCGTCTTTGATGGTGATGTAAAGGATTTATTAATTCTAAACTTTCTTTTTCCATGGTGTCCCATAGAGAAGGCGGAATCACTTTCTGATTGTAAATCATGAATACATAAAATTAAACGTTTGATATCTCCAAGAACTAATAATTGGAGAGGAGGCTGGCGCAGGTCTGTTTCACTTAGTGTCAACAAAGCCTTTCCATCAATTTTGTGCACCACACAAAACAACTCCATGTACTGGCTGAACTGATTCTGTTCCAACCATTGTGCAACTTGATCACAGGTCCATGTTTCTGCATCTGCCATTGTGACTAAGTTTCTGAAAATCAATAAAAAATTGTTTGATGTTTTACAAATTAATTTTAAAAGTACAGACTGCAATACATCTTCATTGTATGAAACGCAATTGTTTATACATTTCTGGTCAGCTGTTAAAAAATGTATGGTATTCAGATTAGCTGATCAATGTACATTGTGAAGAAAAGATATTGATATATTCCGTAAATTGCAATGTAGGTACAATTGTACTACAAACACCAATGTGCCAAACACCACTTAGTTTTGAGTACATAGCAAATATGATACAATTTCAAGAAACTGTAAGATATGAGCATTACCTTTTATCGGCAGGTTAAAGTTAAACATGTATTTAAACTTACATGTACTGAAAAACAATATTAGAGAATAGAATCAATATATCAAAATACAGTTACGGCACAGAATTGGTTTGAGATGGATTTCAGGGTCATTCTGGATCAATCAGTTATAAAATTTTCAATTCAATTCATTTTTTTTTTAATTGGCAATACATTGTACATCTATAATACAAACATGTAAGTTGTATATATTAAATCAGATAATAGTACAGTATAATAATGAATTTTAAATCTGATATAGGCTTAGCCTGTTGTCCGATTCTTTGGTCAATACTGTATTGACCAAAGAATCGGACAACAGGTTAATTAAGTCTATATCAGATTTGAAATTTCTGTAAATTGCATACATTTGTAGTTAATACAGTCTGTGCGTCTTGTATAAAGAGATGATTAATCTGCATCTTTGATGTGTTGTAATCAGGAAGACATGGTTGATTCAGGACCCGGAAAACAACTGTAAACAAACTGCTGACTTTTATTTCTAAATGTAATATAACCTCTCGATTAACTCTTTGATTCTTTTTTTTTTCTTTCAACAAATCATAGTGGCCTTCATTTGTACAATTGCCGTTGGAGAGGGCCTAGTAAGTCGCAAGAACTTGTGCCCAATCCCTTTGACAGTTTGATTTCAATAAAATGTGTTTGAATGAACAAATCGTAAATAAGTCAAGGTGCCCATTGGAATTTAGATATTACATATCTGTATGGGCTGTCCTGCGGAATAATGGCAATGTCCCTACACTTCTAGTCTGTCATTTTTAATTTACCAAATTTCTAATTTGGGTGCAATCTAGTGAAATAGTGCTAATTTTAATAACACATTTTTATCTGTAATATATATAGTGCTCAGTTTATATTATCCTATCCAGATATTATAGTGCTATGATGTACATAATGTATATTTGCTTTCTATTTATCCTAAACACTTTTTTTTAATCCTGTTGGTGTAAGACTAGTTTTTACCTTCATGCACCTTATATCTTATCCAAGTCTTGTATATCTTTATATGTGTCGTGCATGTACTAGTTGTACTGAATGAACATTATTATTATTTATTTATTATTATAGGTCATGGATCATCCATCTTAAGTTTGAAGTTTCTGGGTTGAAATGCTGGTCCAGTCATTGCATTTAACTACTTGTTACATATATATCATTAAAAATATTTGGTAAAAGACAACTTCACAACATTTATTTTTTATTTATTGTCAATAACATCAGATGTGAAATAAAAACTGTCTGTTTTATAAGCACTAATGTATTTTACTTTCACTTTCTACACCATTTCCTAATAAACCTGTGACAATAAACAGTGACCAAATGCAGCAATATTTGTTTACACATGTGAAGTTTTTCTCATCCTCAAGATCCTGTTTAGTGTCATGACTACATGAATCATCTGTCAGTCTTAATTCACGCTAATTATATCAACTTCGTGTGTACTCTTATGAACTTTAAATATTCAATTAAACATTTATCGGTACAAATATCATTGTTTCGTACTTTCAGCACCAAGTTATCTTCCTCCTTTCTGTCATAACCATCTACAAGTGTCTTCAAGTGTTGTACTTCGAACCAGGAATAGGCAGTTAGCCACGCATGTTTACAGTGGAAGCGGAATTAGAGGAATTAGAAAGTGAAATGCATGATGGGAAAACAAGTATTACGTAAAAAATGTCAATTTCATTCAGCGAACATTATTTTTTATCTTATTGGGCAGATATCTTTATTTTCTCATACCGTTTCTGAGCAATTCCATTAAACATTATTAAATATCAAGATCATAATAATCAGTCCGTTAAAATTATATGGGACCCCCTGAAACGGAAATGACGTAGTGACCTTCAGCTTGCAAGTCTCTCCGACATTACAGCAGTCAAGGAAAAGGTGAGGAAGCATAGTCTTGAAAATAATTTTCTGTGGGATTTTTTTGCTTTTTGTTCATTGGTGTATGATTTGATTTCTGTTTGCAATCGTAGTTCTCGAGTATTTCAGAAAAAAATAAGTACCTTTGCAAAACAAAACTTGGTGTCTGTTGAACAAAATAATAGCAGAATGTTTAGTCGCTGTCTTGCACGTGTTCGTTCATCTCGTTTGCCATCATCTTTTGATTGATCAGTTGTGATGTTATGACAAGAATGAAAGACAGTGTGTGATGCATTTTTTCCGCTAAGCAAAATGATGCAAATGTCTAGCTTTAAGTAGCTATCTTACACGACTACAGGTGACCTTGACTGCTTTTGAAAATGTTTACAATGGTGTCTGATGTTTAATATCATAGTTGTGGACACTGACATAGTACAACCACGCAATATTTAGAGCGTTATGGTCATGTTTTTAAAGAGACATATTCTTTGTTTTTGTATTTAAACGAGACGCAGAGATACTTTCGGGTCCATATTTTCAGTGACCAGAAATGGACACACCTCTACGTATACTAATGTCATTGAGAGTCGACCTTCCAAATGTGTCATTTAGATCCACATGAATTACTGTTCAGTGAATTGCTTTTTCAGTGAGAGTGGTTTATTGCGAAGTAAAAGTAAGTGTTATCATGTATATAAGGTACATAATTTTGGATCAGACCCAAGATGGATCTGACAAGAGCAATGTATGCGGTCTTTCTACATTCCCTGGGGCAGTGTTGTAGGTTGCGTCTTAGGAAGCCTTGGGTAGAACTTGCCTTTTTTGTGGTACTTGCTATATGTTCTTTCCACTTCATATCCCCTGATAGTTGTAATCAGTCCTAGGTATGGGCTTGTCTGTACGTGACTGTCTGTTGTGTCCATTATATGATTGGTTAGAAGTAATGTGGTCGCCAAAACAAACATCTGACAGCAGTTTATTTGTTAAAAAAATTATGATAAAAATGTGCCCTTTTATTCATGAAGACATTCTTGTAGTAGTACAGGTAGGAAGCAATTGAATTGATGTCAGATGAAAGTAAAGGTATCAAATGGAAGACAGATTTGCAGTGCTCTAGATAACTTTTGAACATGTGGTGTGTTTTTTTACCCCTAAGCCTACCTCTCGAAAGTGGAGGAGTGTAAACTTGAATTTTGAACTAGGTTCGGGAGGATGAGAACGTCTTGCGAACCTTATTTTAAATAGCGATTGTTGTTTTGAAAGCGGCATGATTCAATCGTCTGAAATATTCTCGCTCAGGTTAGCGTGACAGAAGGCATTGATTTGCTTACTATGCAAGCGTCTCACTGAGTCACTGTAAGCGTATTATAATCTGCTAAATTGGACCCAGAGACTGTTCTGGATTTTGCTTGTGTAAAAATTGAATTAAGCAAGTTCATGTGTTTCTTTTGCGCAATTTGTGAATTATCACACAATTATTGTTTGGTTTTACTTTGGGTTTTTTTTGCTTTACATTCTATTAACAGCTAGGTCATTTAACTCATTCACCCCTGAAATTTCATAATGGACTAATCCAACCTTGATTTGGAAGAGTTCAAATGTGACTTCAAATTTTGTAGTTATATTCATTTGAAGTAAAGAAAAGTTTTCTGCCACAAAAAAATAAGTAAATAGGTTGTCAGAATTTAAAGGATTTTACATTGAAATTTATGTAAAAAGGAGTGAATTTTGAAAAAAAAAAAATGAAAACATAATTTTATGCCAAATAATGTCAATTAAAAGGTTATTGACAGATTAGTATTGCATTAATGTATATCAATTTCATAAATGCGGAAATTGTGTAAAATTGATTATCTATAAACGATTAAAAATTGACGTTTTATAATAAAACCATATGTATACACATAGTAATTGCATGTAAGAGTTATCATTCTTGAAAAACTTAACAGTAGTGAAATAGGTAGCCGGTTTCCTGAAGTAAAGAATAATGGACACATGTGACTCATTGATTAAAAAACAACTGAATTAATGCCTGGATTGCTTTGAAATACTTTAATATTGAAAAACATACTGTTCTGTCAATAATAAACATAAAATATTTATCAGATTAATATTAAACATTAGAATATGCGGAAATTGTGATACTGTCTCCCTACATTGGATTTTCAATTAGGGATGTACTTATGAATTAACCTTTCACCCCTATGTAATCTTATTAGATTCTACCATGCATTGATATATATGGACAAGTCTATGATGGTCTACAGTGGTGAAAGTGTTAACTTATTTTCTTCAGCTCTTGTGGTCAGATTATCCTCATCTAATGTGTTGTTCAAGACTAGTAAATATTGAAAGGGGGAAACAAATTGTATTGTTATATTTGTTTTTCTCATTATAGCTTCAAAATGGCACCACCATCATACAGTGACCTTGGAAAATCTGCGAAAGACCTTTCTGACAAAGGTTACAGTAAGTAGTATTATGCAGAAGTTCTTGTGTAACAGAATTTTGAGGTGATATCCATAATCAGAATGGGAAAAAAATAACGTGCTGCATATTATTTTTTACACTAAATTACAGGCCCTCAAATTTTCTACTTTGAACAATATGCAATACAACAAGGGGTTTCCCCTGACATCAATATTTAGGCTAGTGAACTTGGTCATCCATCATCAAATAAACTTAAACCCTAATGACATCAATTGTACCAGAATGCAATGTTTAGAAAATTGGGGGGGGGGGGGGGGGGGGGGGACTAAATTAGACCAAATATTCATCTGGGTATATATATATTGCATTCCTCTTTTATTTAAAAAAATGAAAAAGAATTGTGAAGGCCTTTTTGGGCCAGCTCCCCTCCCCAATTTTGGTATTATTTTCACCTGTTTCAGCTTTTTTTCCTATCTCAGTTTAAAAATTCACCCATTTGCAACTAAAATACTACCACATCAATCAGTCTTGGTTCCATTTTTCTTTAAATTTTCCATCGTTCCACAACCATTTCAGTGTGTCATTTATCATTAGTATAAATCCATATTTCTTCTATCATAGTGTGTATGGTTCATTTGCACATTTATAGTCTATCCCATTATATTTGTTTTCTCACTGTCCGAGACAAAAAAATAATACATTTGACATAAATACAGCATCCCAGAAAAACGCAAATAATCTAATAAAAATATGTGTTTTAGACTAATTATTCATATTTTACATTTTCTGTTTTTATTTCTTCAGATTTTGGACTGTACAAACTTGAATGTAAAACGAAATCTAGCAGTGGAGTTGAATTCACAACAAAAGGAAGCTCAAGCCATGATTCTGGAAAAGTCTCTGGAAGCTTAGAAACAAAGTACAAGCTTTCCGAGCATGGTAGGTTAACAGAAAAAAATAATGAGTTATTGACTGACAATAAAGATTTATTTTATGATTTAAATCTGATGAAATTCTAGGGCCAGCAGACCAACGGTTAATTCCATTTCTGCTTGACATTAACAGCACCACATATATGGAATCTGACAAGTAAAAACATTATATTTTGATGAATTTATCATTCTTTGGTTAAAAAGAAATAGATGCAAAATCTTCAGACTTATTTAGTGATGAATATATAAATTGATATGTTTTGAGAGTGGTGGGGACCGGAGGGGGTGCTCGCTTATAATTCACAGTAAAGTGCCATTGTTTGTTAGAACATTGATTGTCTACACAAGTGATTGTAACATTCATCTCATTTCCCCCATAAAAAATAGCTGATTTTGTTTCCTTTAATATGTCTTTTATTTCTTGTAGGACTGACATTTGTAGAAAAGTGGAATACTGACAATGTTCTTGCCACAGAAATCACTATTGAAGATCAGCTTTGCAAGGGTCTTAAATTGGCCTTTGAATCTTCGTTTGCACCACAGACAGGGTAAACACAGTTAATTATTGACATACAAGTTTTGATTTCTTGCTTGATGACAATATTGCATTATAATGAAATAATGTTTCATAAGTAAGATGCTGAAATATTTGGTTTTATTTGGTCATAAGAAACAATTTTTAGCACAATTCTAAAAAAATCTAATTGTAAGTACTGCAGTCAAATTTCTCAATTCCAAATGCAAAGATTCCAAAATAGTAGGAGAAAAGCCTTGTGTTATGAAAAGAAATATGATGTAGACAGGCTTGCCTTTGGCTTTAGGAAAAATTGTGTCGCAGTAATCCAAAAATTAAAATAGGAGGCGTTGCCATATTTGGGATGAATGGTTACGTTTGGTTAAAATTTCCTTCGCCCATTGTTTGACATATAATTTTTTATGTGACTCCCAAGACATTCCTGTATGAGTCGTAAAAGTTATTTACCCTTTTAAATTGAAGTTTTTCTTTTTGATTAAGCTTTAGTTTTTGTCCTGGTTGTTTAAATGTATGCATATGGTAGAAATGCCATACTGTACTTAAAAGTTGGATATTCAAACAAATTACTTTCAGATTTAGAAATATTTGTTGATATTGATTTTCAGTAAGAAGAATGGAAAAATTAAGACTGCCTACAAGATGGATTACTTAAATGCAAGTTGTGATGTTGACTTTGACTTTGCGGGTCCAACAGTTCATGGTGCAGCAGTAGTTGGGTAAGCAGTAAGTGAAAATTGGCGAAAAGTGTGTTCCACTCACACTCATGATCATCGTACACTGTAGTTGCATATATATATATATATATATATAGGATCTTACATGAGTTTCAAACAAGTCTTACAAAATTTTCAATTAGCGAGTGTGTGAAGCTAAAATGAAAAAATTGTGACAAGTTTCATATGAAATGAAAACGAGTGTATGATCCTTTTTATCACATGATCAAACTTTGTGGCATTTTTGTAAAACAACAATTTTCATATAACTTTGAAATGTAAAATGCCGCCATTTTGACTCTAGTGCGTAAGTCTGTGATGTCATGGACTTGTCCTAGGTGCGACGTCCCAATTTAAACAATTGAAACTTACCACCAATCACATGGCTGAAAGGTCATATTACATGTAAAAGAAAATATGACATGGGTATATTCACTGGATAACTTGGTACATTATGTGATAAATATATATATATGTATAAATAAAACAAAACACGAAATCTAGTATAATCACTAGGGCTTTAGCCCATCTTGGGGCTCTTCAGGCGCTTGAAAAATTAATTTTGATGTCGTAAATGGAATACACATACTAAGGATGTCGTAAAAAGTACACATAATGCGGACGTCTAGAAATTGCAATGTCTTAAAAAGATTACATCAATGTACTTGCATTAAATGTGTCGATGAAATATATGGAAAAAGAAACGGAGCATATTACAAATGTTCGATAGTAAAAGTAAAAACATCTGATAATAAGATTGAATTATATATATGTATATAGAGAGAGTATAAATGTTCCCTCTGCTGGAAGCTGGAACACTTAGGCCAGACAAAAAAATTATGTGTGTCTCCCGTAATATGTTGGAAAAATTTAGGGTAAGTAGGTAGGTATTTTTTTTACCACAAAAAAATCAGGGTATGTAGGGTGACTGGAAACACCAAATATTTTTTGTTTGGCCTTTGTCGCCTACCATTGCTAGTGAAGAGGACTATTGCAATCAGTACATACATGAGTGGTTGGGGAGGAAAGGCAATTATTTTTTGGCTATTTAATTTCTAATGATTTGCAACCTAGCATGTAGATTTTCTACAGTATTGTTTTTCTTTAACTGTTTTAACTTTTTAAAAAAAATCTAGCTAAACATGATGATTGGTAAGAGTAGGTTTCTGAAAGATATGTTTCAGTATCTTCATGTTGATTATCCAACAGGTATAACAACTTTCTGGCTGGCTACCAAATGTCCTTTGATACCTCCAAGTCCAAGCTTTCCAAGAACAACTTTGCTTTTGGATATTCTTCAGATGATATGACACTCCATTGCAATATGTAAGTATAACACTGCCTTGACGTATCATGTGCTACATTATGTGGTCAGTGTAATGTTTCTGATGTTGTTTTTAAGAAGCGATGTTGATATATTGCTTTAATAGTGTAATTCCATTTTATTGCAAGTTGAACATGTATTTATTTCCACAATTTGTTTCCTTAAGTCAATATTATATTAGGACATATGATATAATAATATGCAGTTGTTTTTGCTAAGTAATATTTGATCATGCTTTATTTGCACTTTGAACATGCTGAAAAAAATAAACTTAATCATATTTATTAATAGTATAATTTATTGAAATCAAAGTGTTGATACCAGTTATTCCATTCAGTGCTCACGTAAAAAGAGATTGTGGTTCTTTTTACACTTGCCAAACAGAAGAGCCCATGAAGGCTGCACCCGATGATGGGAATTTTCAGAAATTCTTTTGTTACTAATGCAATAATGTTTTATTTCACTTCACCAGAAATGATGGCGCCGAATTTGGAGGCTCTGTTTATAACAAAGTGAACGACAAGCTGCAGACTGGTGTAAATTTGTCCTGGTCTGCTGGAAATAGCTCAACACGGCTTGGTTTGGCGGCAAAATACACATTAGACAAAGATGCTTATGTCAATGTAAGGAAAAAATATTGAATAATTTAGATTTAATGGTTTGCTTGCATGTTAGAAAAACAAAGGGATTGCTCTTTTTTACCCCTCCTTTGTAAGAAAAACAAAGGGATTGCTCTTTTTTACCCCTGCTTTGAAAGAAAGTGAGGGATATTACTTTGTTGCATCTGTCTCTCACTTTTAAATTCTGTAGATCAACTCTTAAAAATTGTTTAATTTAGTTTAATTGCCAATTTGATGCTTGTAGATTCAGACATTCGTAATTGAAGCTACACACTTCTGATTGGTTAATTCGCTATCTATGCGGTATATCCCTAAAAATATTGGCATGTACTACACTACAGTAAGCACCACAGCTACGTTGTCCTGAAAATGGGGAATATAACATTTAAGAATTTGCACATTAATTAGTTCTTGTTTTAAAATGATAATTCTTCATCTAACATTTTAAGGTAAAAATCAATTTTAAAGAAAGATAGTTTAACTTTATATTTGAAACTTTAGGCTGGTCAATTTTGGTAAAATAGTCTGGGGGGGTTTTCAACATGATTTTCCATATTACAAAGCCACAGACTCCAATTTACAATAGGTTGATTTCACAACCAACGCATAATCATCCTTAAAATGATCGGAGAATATGTATAAAAACAATTGCAGCATATTAACTTTTTTCAAAGCAACTAAGAACAAGTATAAACATCCTCAATAAATATTGTTGTTCTTGGTGGGTGGGATAAAACCATGGGTTGACTGAAATCAACATGCAACAATAGTCTGTTTAAAGGAGCTATTTTAAATAATTTAGTCAAATGGCAACCTGAAAATAGAGTCGATATTGAAAATGTATATCCCAACGAAAGTCTACATAGTTGATAATGACATGACTTGAAGCCAACGTCTAGTGTGGTCAGTTTTATCTTTTGTGACAGCTGGTGATATTAATAGCTACAACCAAAATAGTGCAATATCCGGGCTTTTCAGTGACGAGTTAACATGTTCAGCACTACGCTGTCAACCGACAACACAATATCAGTTATGAGATTTTACACAACACATTCTTGAATTCACACAGTACATCGCAAATAAGACATGAATTGCTCATAAGTATTATCAAACTATAAATCATTAAGAATTTTGTGGCATGGTTATAAAAAAAAACTTACTTCACTAAATTGTCCCTTTAATAGTTGTAACTCACTTGGTTATCTACACACATTACTGTCAATTTGTTACTCCTTTCTTTTAATTTTGTTTTCATTAATTAATCAAACTGCAATTGCTTTGATTAAAAAAACCTGGTTAACAGTATTCACACTAAGGGTAATTTAGCCATGGTTATTCTTGTGAGCAAGTTTTGTGTGACTGCAACAACATTTCACTAACAAAAATGAAGGAAAGATTCCATAAAGATAAAAAAAGACGTACCTGTATGACATTAAATCATGCTTGATATCATACAAGTTTAACAGTGTTTTAGGGTAGTATTTTCTTTCCCAAGTTTATAACAATGCAAATATATCATTATGCATAAACATTATAATATTACTCTCACACATTACCATTCATTTATAATAAACTGCATATATGGCCATGGTACCTCTCTATTATTTCCAGGTATAATTAATGATTAATTATGTTTATGTCAAATTAAATTGCAGCTAAATTATGTCATTTATATGTAAGCATTGTCAGGACCATGAAGGGGGTTTAGGGTAGTATTACAGTATTTAGAAAATCTTAGTTATTGCAGTGTTTGGTATGTCGATATTGAAAGAGCATGCAAACAGGATGCTACAGCCATGATGGTTGTAACTATGGAGTGCATACAGGATTTCTATTGATTGCAAAATGCCTTGTCAATTTATTACGAGATCTATTGTGATGAAGATGTGTTTTCTTTTGCAGTTGAAAGTAAATAATGCTTTCCAAATCGGAATGGGCTACACTCAAAACATTAGGAAAGGTAAGTGTTTTGGTTCCCCATGTCATGCTTGTAGATTGATCAATCATTAAGTCACATTCTCTAAATTGGCCAGTGAGTTAATTGTAAGGGCATCTAAACTGATTATCTACCTAAAATGATACATTTCTGAATGAATTGATTGATATCAAGATTGTCCTTGTAAATCAGGGCAGGGCGAACTGAATATTTACTACTTTAATGAGAGTTTTATTGAGACAGTATTGTTTATAATTTCAGGTGTAAAGCTGAACCTTTCTTCATTGGTTGAGGGCAAGAATTTCAACCAAGGTGGTCACAAGGTCGGAATGGGTCTTGAATTTGATGCCTAAATGTTACATGTCCAAGTGGTTAGTGATATAATATAAAACCTTTGGATGCAAAGCAATTCATTCATCATCAGTGTTTAACCAGGAGAGGAGACACAACATATTAAACATTTGCTAGTCTGGTGAGGGTCCAGTCTTCACCTCATCTTTATCTAGTATTCCCAGTGTTGACACTGCCGACAGCATAAGCATGGCAGAGTTTGGTGCATGCAGAGACTGAAGACGGATTTGATGTTCACTTTGCCACCCACTTTGAATTGATTGTGGATTTCAAGAAAATGACATGATCAATCAGATATTGATTTGTACTTAGATTTATTTCTTGTTTGCTGTTTCCATTAGGTTACATTCGTTGCATAGCAAACAAGCTGTTTTCCCACTGTCCACCAATCGAGAAACCTTCATTCGACATAACGCAGGTTAGATGTGTCAGAGAATTTGTCCCTGAGAGCTTATCAAAACATTTCAGTGCTGGTAAATTAATGTACAAATATGTATCTTAATTAAAGAATTATGTGATGTGTAAAACATAGTTTGTGTTTTATGTTCCTTGCAATGTTGAAACAGAAATTTTGTAATGTTGAGGTACAAGTACAAAAAGTTGCTCTGACCAGTAGAGTAACTAATCACCAGCAATCAGTTGCCAAGGAATCCAGGTCAAAACGGCCGCAGTGTAAAAACGGCCCTAGTTAAAACGGCCCTATTGTAAAAACGGCCCTACTTTTTAAATCGTGATATACAATTTGATTGGATTTTAAATTAAGCTAGCATTCAATTTATTTCCAATAAGATACTTGTTAGTTATGTTTAGTGAATTTAAATCGAGGGTGTCAGCCAACAATGCATACATTGCTGTTGTCTNCAGAAAAGGGGAAGTCCTACCGGGAATGGGGAAATCCTACCGGAATGGGGAAATCCTACCGGAATGGGGAAGTTTCATCGAAAATAGGGTAATTTCTACCCCTTTTGCGAGGAAAATTCCATAAAACTATTCCCTAGTGGTGGCTGAATCCAGGTCAAAACGGCCGCAGTGTAAAAACGGCCCTAGTTAAAACGGCCCTACTGTAAAAACGGCCCTACTTTTTAAATCGTGATATACAATTTGATTGGATTTTAAATTAAGCTAGCATTCAATTTGTTTCCAATAAGATAATTGTTATTTATGTTTAGTCAATATAATTAGAGGGTGTCAGCCACCAATGCATACATTGTTGTTGTCCAGCTCTTGCCACGTGGAGGCTCCCTCTGTAAGAGCCACACGAATTTAGTTTGCCGAAGTTACTACCGAAATTTCACTATAAAAATTGTCCAAACTGAATGTTTCTAATTATCAAACCATAAATGTCCAAATCTGTAAAAACTGTTCACATTATATGATACCCTGCTGCTGCTCAACCGTCGCTCTCGGGGCATAGACGTGCCCAACCCTCTTCAGGAACGCCGAGGTGGAGATGGCATCTTGGTCCCACAGCTCCGCTACCTTCCCCTGGATTCGGCGGTAGGTCGTCCTCTGGTGTCTTTGGAGTGATGACTCGGACACCAGTCTCATCCGGATGCTGACCAGTGAGCCTTCCTTCAGGAGCAGGGGAACCAGGATGTAGAACGGCAAATTGGCCCGTCCTGCTTTGCCGTTCAATCTATGGTGCCAACCTGTAACAGATAAAGTTACCGCGATCTCTTCGGCTGCTGCGACCTCAAATGTCTGGTTGGCGTCATGGCGTACGGGGGACAAACCAAAACTTCTGAAAAATAAATAGATTTGATGTTGTTGATTGGAAATATAAGTTCATATATTGTTGTCTAGATTTATTAGTTCATACATGTTCGGATGAGTATAATTATGACATTGCGCTCTATTTTATAAATACCTTGTGATATTCCAATTCATCGGCCTAATGAATGTTGAGTCTGCGTGTGGGGCTGGAAGTACCGACAACTCCAGGGTGGGAGGCTGGTCCAGACTCCTTCGTGGTGGTGGTGGCGACATCGGGAGGTTGGACACTTACAACACTGGAGGCTATGAAATGGAAGAAATGAAATACTACTATATAGTTTAACTCCATTCATCTCTTATATTATATCTTATTATATATCTTATATCCAAAAACACTCGATATGTTACCGAAAAACCGCTATTTATTTCTTACCTCATGGACGATGTAAGTGGAGTCAAGGTTCGAGGCAGGATTTGTCGATGCCGGAGTGACTGAGGGTGGGTCCGCAATACTCGTCTGTTGGGGTAAAAAATATCATTTTAATCGTAACGTTAACGTGCTAGCACGTAAATTTGTATATCGACCAAATAATAATTATAAGATAAGTATAACGGGACGTATATATAAATGAACATAATAATTATAAGATAAGTATAACGGGACGTATATATATATATGAACATAATAATTATAAGACAATTATATCACTTACCGGTACCACACGTTCTATGATGCCATCTACTACAGCAATCGCACTGCAGTGCAGATAACACTGTCGCACTCAAAACAGGTCATCAATGCTGGTCTCATGGTTGAAAGTCTTATTCAAATTCAAATGATACGTGAAGATTTTGCTACACATTCGTCCAATTTATTACACCCTCTGACCAATCCCGTTAATTGTTGTTTTAATTGAGTCAATCCGAGGTACTCTGTTAAAACAACAAAGACCCTCCTCCCATATCTAAATTATTATTAGTTAATATTGTAACTATTTTTTTCAAATGCTATTCAATAAGTTTTTTAATTAATTCTTTTCTCTAAATAATTAAATTAAATTAAACACTGAAATAGAAAACACCATTGCAAAGGTATTTGAGACTGAGGAGGGTCAACTATCAATGAAAACACAAACACAATTATAATGTTTTTATCTGTACATGTACATATCTTTATTTCTTGAAAGTGCATGTAACTTTATTAACTTAATATCAAGTTATGTACCTGTATTACGCACTTATAGTACTTGCAGTACTATACAGTATATACTATACTATATATAGAGTGGGGCCGTTACTGCAGTGCGGCCGTTTTAACCGTATACCGTTGCCAAGTCCCTTTTGATACAGTAAATACAGATAGAAATTAAGGGGAGATCACTCCAGTTACAAAAGTGTATAGTGGAATCGTCATCTGGATATTATCAAACGTCATCCAAATTGTACTGATAGCATGCTTTGCTAAGGGGGATAGATAAATGTTAAAGGAGCCTGCCTGGGATAAAGGGGTCAAATTGGCTGATTTGCTTTCATTGATGTCTCACAACTACAAATCCAATGCAATGCACCGATTTTAAGTTTTTAGGTCACCTGAGCTTTAGCATTTTACATTTCAAACTTAAGGTCAAGTTCTGCTGGGCCGATTGAACTGAAAGTTGGTAGGAATGATCGACTCATGGTCCTGACAAAGTGTTGTTATTTTTCGGGTCAATCAGAAATCCAATATGGCCGCCATTTTGAAAAACTATTTCAAACTTAAAGTCAAGTTCTGCTGGGCAGATTGAAATGAAAGTTGGTAGGAATGATCTACCCATAGTCCTGACAAAGTGTTGTTATTTTTTTCTGGTCGATCAGAAATCCAATATGGCCGCCGTGGTCGCCATTTTGAAAAACTATTTCAAACTAAAAGTCAAGTTTGACTGGGCCGATTGAACTGAAACTTTGTAGGAAAGATCGACTCATGGTCCTGACAAAGTGTTGTTATTTTTCGGGTCGATCAGAAATCCAATATGGCCGCCACGGCCGCCATTTTTAAAAACTAGTTCAAACTTAAAGTAAAGTTCTACTTGGCCGATTGAACTGAAACTTTGTAGGAATGATCGAATCATGGTCCTGACAAAGTATTGTTATTTTTCGGGTCAATCAAAAATATAATTTGGCTGCCATTATACTTAACTATTTTTTTACTCAAATTGGTACATATTTCAACAACAAAATTAAATACTGTAGGACTCGGGTGACCGTTAAGGCCCATAGGCCTCTTGTTTTATTTTTTTATTTTTTTTGCATTACAATAACATATATATTTCATTAAACATAATTAATTCCACTGTCACACATACTTTCATACTAATAAATATTGCTCTTTTTGTTAGTGGTATTTTATTTTTAGGTCACCTGAGCTTTAGCTCAAGTGACCTATTGCTATCCGTCTTCGTCCGTCATCCTTTAACATTTTACATTTTCAACTTAAGCTGAAATACTGGCAAAGGGATTTCATTAATATTTCATGGGAGGGTTACTGACATCTCCCTGGCCAAGTGTTGTTATTTTTCGGGTCGATCAGAAATCCAATATGGTCGCCATTTTGAAAAACTATTTCAAACTTAAAGTCAAGTTCTGCTGGGCTGATTGAACTGAAACCTGGTAGGAATGATCGACTCATGGTCCTGACAAAGTGTTGTTATTTTTCAGGTCGATCAGAAATCCAATATGGCCGACACAGCCGCCATTTTGAAAAGCTATTTCAAACTTAGTCAAGTTCTACTGGGCCGATTGAACTGAAACTTTGTAGGAATTTGTTCGACTCATGGTCCTGACAAAGTGTTGTTATTTTTCGGGTCGATCAGAAATCCAATATGGCCGCCACGGCCGCCATTTTGAAAAACTATTTCATAATTAAAGTCAAGTTCTACTGGGCCGATTGAACTGAACCTTTGTAGGAATGATTGACTCATGGTCCTGACATAGTGCTGTTATTTTTCGGGTCGATCAGAAATTCAATACGGCCGCCATTTTGAAAAAAAACTATTTCAAACTTAAAAACAAGTTCTAATAGGCCGATTTAACTGAAACTCGGTCTAGGAATGATCAGCTCATGGTCCTGACAAACTTCAGTTAACGTTATACTTAACTATTTTGTACTTGTACATATTTCAACAACAAAAAATTAATACTGTAGGACTCAGGTGACCGTTTAGGCCCATGGGCCTCCTGTTTAGTAATGTTATATTAGAAAGGAATGAAAATCAGATAAGAGAAACAAAGAAATAGAAAAAATAAAGACGGGTAAATTGACAGAAAGATAGCCGGAGGAGGAGAAGTACCAGTATTAAACAATGTTTTTTCTCAAATAAATCTAAATAATATCAAACATAATCGGCAAAATGTAGGTCTAGGAAATATCAATAAGCCTTTTCCATTTTTCAACTCATTCTGGAAGTTAATGAGATATATTTCGTCTTTACTATTTGCAATATATTTTTGAATATTGTAATGTTCTTTAATTGAACTTTTAATTCCTTGTATAGATAAAGGCACTTTAAGACATCTTGCCTTGTATATATATTGTTTCATTATCAAAATAATACCATTGTTACTTATTAAGTCCATTATAGTTGTAAATAAACCAAAAAGAAATGTTTGTTTATTGTAATCAAATGGAATAATTAATGCATCTAATAAAAGATTTTGTACTTGTCACATTCCCATAATACATGCTCTATTGACTTACTAGTTTACACAGTTCACAGTAAGGGCTATCTACTATTCCTGCCTTTAACCAAGTCTTGGTGGCACTGTGTTGGCATGCTTGGCCATCGGGGATAAAACTAAATAAAATACAGGACCGTCCTCTCCTGGCGACTGTAAAAGGTTCAAATTTTCTGATTTGCTTTAAATGACTTGGTCCCAAAGTACTTTGAAAAGTTCAGCCAAATTGCAGTGGAGATTTAATTCCGAATTTATGTTTGGATTTCCTCTAAATTACAGATCTGGCATTCTCAACACATAGGGATAAGTAAATAAACTAAGAATGACGTTGACACTCGTTAGATGTGAGGGCTGGTCAGAAGAGGTCGAAGTGACATTGTCTTTCAAGGTGCGCGGTAGCTTTCAACCAAGGCTTTTTACACTTGGGATTTAAAATTGTATAGATGAAAAGTATCAATGTGCTTAACTTGCTTTAATTGACATCACCAAACTAGTGACTTTTACTTCCAAACTGTACCTGAGCATACGTCCACTGAACTGTAGTGCCAACTTACTCTGCCAAAATGGATCTAAATACACTAATTGAGAGGCAGGGTAATTTTCTCTTGTTTTTAAGAAAAACAGAAAGCTGACTTAAACCACCACTATCGAAGTATTTGTTTCCGCAAATAAACAAATGAAACGCGATAATGATGTCACAAGAACGACCAAGACAACTCGAAACCCATGGAAGACTGATTTGTTAGCGCATTTCATCTTGAATAACTAATAGCACATCCAAGCATGACTTTCAGACATTTAAGCAGTACGTCTACGTCGTAAGTATGTACATATATATCCGAACAATAAACAAAACACGAAGCAAAGTATATGGTGACTTTTTTTTGTGTGAGGGTTACACAAAACCGTATTACATTAAATAAAATATAATAAAGGAGAATTGTTTAGACTATTACGCGTTTGAGGATATATACAGTGATGCTAATGTAAAGACATTTTGTTTTGTAGTTTAAAAATGGGTAAGATAAGAAGGAACGACGACTTGTCAGCAAAATAACAATTCAAAATCGATAAAACTAGGGCAATATGTGAACACAGATTTACATTGAGACCTTTGAAAAAGTAACAGGAGAACACATGTTCTTGGAGACACCCGATATGTGAATCTTGGCCAAAGCCAAGTAATGTCGCGTCCTCTCACCGAGTACTCAGGAGTGAAATCAAAACCAAGTAATGTCGCGTCCTCTCAACGAGTACTCAGGAGTGCAACCAAAACCAAGTAATGTCGCGTCCTCGCACCGAGTACGCAGGAGTTACACCAAAACCAAGTAATGTCGCGTCCTCTCAACGAGTACTCAGGAGTGACACCAAAATCAAGTAATGTCGCGTCCTCTCACCGAGCACTCAGGAGTGACATCAAAACCAAGTAAAGTCGCGTCCTCTCACCGAGTACTCAGGCGTGACATCAAAACCAAGTAATGTCGCGTCCTCATACCGAGTACTGAGGAGTGACACCAAAACCAAGTAATGTTGCGTCCTCTCACCGAGTACTCAGGAGTGACTCCAAAACCACTTGAGGCATTTTAATGAGCATAATAAAAAACAGCGTGACATCAAAACCAAGTAATGTCGCGTCCTCTCAACGAGTACTCAGGAGTGCAACCAAAACCAAGTAATGTCGCGTCCTCGTAATGTCGCGTCCTCTCACCGAGCACTCAGGGGTGACATCAAAACCAAGTAATGTCGCGTCCTCTCATCGAGTGCTCAGGAGTGACATCAAACCCAAGAAATGTCGCGTCCTCTCACCGAGTACTCAGAAGTGACATCAAAGCCAAGTAATGTCGCGTCCTCTCACCGAGTTCTCAGGAGTGACATCAAAACCAAGTAAAGTCGCGTCCTCTCACCGAGTACTCAGGAGTGAAATCAAAACCAAGTAATGTCGCGTCCTCTCATCGAGTGCTCAGGATTGTCATCAAACCCAAGTAATGTCGCGTCCTCTCAACGAGTACTCAGGAGTGCAACCAAAACCAAGTAATGTCGCGTCCTCGTAATGTCGCGTCCTCACACCGAGTACTCAGGAGTGACATCAAAGGATATGTGAATCTTGGCCAAAGCCAAGTAATGTCGAGTCCTCTCACCGAGTACTCAGGAGTGACTCCAAAACCACTTGAGGCATTTTAATGAGCATAATCAAAAACATCGTGACATCAATACCAAGTAATGTCGTGTCCTCTCACCGAGTACTCAGGAGTGACCCCAAAACCAAGTAATGTCGCGTCCTCTCAACGAGTACTCAGGAGTGCAACCAAAACCAAGTAATGTCGCGTCCTCGCACCGAGTACGCAGGAGTTACACCAAAACCAAGTAATGTCGCGTCCTGTCACCGAGTACTCAGGAGTGACATCAAAGGATATGTGAATCTTGGCCAAAGCCAAGTAATGTCGAGTCCTCTCACCGAGTACTCAGGAGTGACTCCAAAACCACTTGAGGCATTTTAATGAGCATAATCAAAAACATCGTGACATCAAAACCAAGTAATGTCGTGTCCTCTCACCGAGTACTCAGGAGTGACTCCAAAACCACTTGAGGCATTTTAATGAGCATAATCAAAAACATCGTGACATCAATACCAAGTAATGTCGTGTCCTCTCACCGAGTACTCAGGAGTGAAATCAAAACCAAGTAATGTCGCGTCCTCGTAATGTCGCGTCCTCTCACCGAGTACGCAGGAGTGACACCAAAACCAAGTAATGTCGCGTCCTGTCACCGAGTACTCAGGAGTGACACCAAACCCAAGTAATGTCGCGTCCTCTCACCGAGGACTCAGGAGTGACATCAAAACCAAGTAATGTCGCGTCCTCGTAATGTCGCGTCCTCACACCGAGTACTCAGGAGAGACACCAAAACCAAGAAATGTCGCGTCCTCGTAATGTCGCGTCCTCACACCGAGTACTCAGGAGGGACACCAAAACCAAGTAATGTCGCGTCCTGTCACCGAGTACTCAGGAGTGACATCAAAGGATATGTGAATCTTGGCCAAAGCCAAGTAATGTCGAGTCCTCTCACCGAGTACTCAGGAGTGAAATCAAAACCAAGTAATGTCGCGTCCTCATACCGAGTACTGAGGAGTGACACCAAAACCAAGTAATGTTGCGTCCTCTCACCGAGTACTCAGGAGTGACCCCAAAACCAAGTAATGTCGCGTCCTCTCACCGAGTACGCAGGAGTGACATCAAAACCAAGTAATGTCGCGTCCTCTCATCGAGTGCTCAGGAGTGACATCAAACCCAAGTAATGTCGCGTCCTCTCAACGAGTACTCAGGAGTGACACCAAAATCAAGTAATGTCGCGTCCTCTCACCGAGTTCTCAGGAGTGACATCAAAACCAAGTAAAGTCGCGTCCTCTCCCCGAGTACTCAGGAGTGACACCAAAACAAAGTACTGTCGCGTCCTCTCACCGAGTACTCAGAAGTGACACCAAAACCAAGTAATGTCGCGTTCTTCACCGAGTACTCAGGAGTGACACCAAAACAAAGTACTGTCGCGTCCTCTCACCGAGTACTCAGGAGTAACATCAAAACCAAGTAATGTCGCATCCTCTCACCGAGGACTCAGGAGTGACACCAAAACCAAATAATGTCGCGTCCTCTCACTGAGTACTCAGGAGTGACACCAAAACCAAGAAATGTCGCGTCCTCGTAATGTCGCGTCCTCTCACCGAGTACGCAGGAGTGACATCAAAACCAAGTAATGTCGTGTCCTCTCACCGAGTACTCAGGAGTGACTCCAAAACCACTTGAGGCATTTTAATGAGCATAATCAAAAACATCGACATTCAAAACCAAGTAATGTCGCGTCCTCTCATCGAGTACTCAGGAGTGACATCAAAACCAGGTAATGTCGCGTCCTCTCACCGAGTACGCAGGAGTGACACCAAAACCAAGTAATGTCACGTCCTCACACCGAGTACTCATGAGTGACATCAAAACCAAGTAATGTCGTGTCCTCTCACCGAGTACTCAGGAGTGAAATCAAAACCAAGTAATGTCGCGTCCTCTCATCGAGTGCTCAGGAGTGACATCAAACCCAAGAAATGTCGCGTCCTCTCACCGAGTACTCAGGAGTGACACCAAAACCACTTGAGGCATTTTAATGAGCATAATCAAAAACATCGACATTCAAAATATCACACAAAGAAAAAGATCATGATGGCGAAAATAAAACTTTCCATAGAACATAGACAGCAGTCACATTCTATCAAAATAATCAAAATAAGGTAAAAGGTATTCGATGCAAGCTCTTGAAAACAGATCAACTGCGATATGATCCCATCAATAAATAGAAAGTCGAAATCGTAGTCGAGATTGTGTTCATGTGTCTCGTCCCATAGCCCTGATAAATCTACTCCACTTTGCTCAAAGTTAATCTGAAAGTGGAAATTTCATTATTTATTCACCAAAATGCAACACTATTAATGAGTAATTCAAGACATACACGGGCGTAAATCTCACAAGTACATATTTTCCTATGCGTCAAATATATTACATAGAAGCTTTTTAAGTTAACATTATTGCAATTTTCGAAAACCACGGAATTATTATCGAAGTCCGTGCTAAAACATATGTCCTGTGGAAGTCTTTTAAATATTTACTAAGAGTGATTTGTTTAAGTTGAAATAGCTTGTTTCATAATTGTTGTAATATAAATAAAGTTCATATGTTAAGTGAATCTTATAATTTTCGCTGCATTATTATTTTAACAAACATTTCATTCCGTTACCTGATTATGTGACACGTTTAATTGCTATTTATAGAATACTGTTTTTTTTACCACGTCTGTTTTCAAACAAGAATTAACTAAATCATTGTCATAATTACGTAATACAATTAATTAGTCGCACGGTGACATCTAAAGAACCTTTGTAGCAGGTGTTGCTCACCTGTCAATCAACGACGCTAGCTTGGGTCGCGTGACCCTGAGTAGTTTTCAGAACTACGATCAGAACTTAGACGGGTCACTGGTACACTGTATATCCTTCAGATTGTCTTCTAACACTAAGGAGAAAGCAATGGCGACCACGGTAAATGATCAGGTATGTTGGTTATTTTATTATAAGACGGTAAGAACATATATGTGTATGATGCATAATTATATGTAAAAAAATCATTGATCGTATGTCTGGGTTTTTCATAAGCTGCATGAATGTTGTCGTATCTAGATATTGAGCAGATCTCGTAAGAGAGTTAACGTATGTTTACAATTTCATATCACTACTCCAAAAAGTACTCTGAATCACCTGCCCATCATAACTAGCGCCTTTGTTGTCTTATCCTTTCGCTTTGGAAACAATTAAATATCTTTAGTTTAATATCATTTATATGCATCATTTCATTAAAATTATATGTAATTTTTATCATATTATACATGCTAACTAAATGGTATGGATATAGATTCACTATCTCGAGTTTAAAGTGGATGCTATCTATCATTTTGACAAATTCGTATTTTGTAATGTCTCAATGAACAGATGATAAATGAAAAGATATAATAAAAAAAACAAAATGGCATAAATCGGCCAGCACATGAGTCGAATATATTTTTCTCTCGTAGCGCGAACACTGAGACATGTGATCGTAGTTGATAAGAATTTAGGGATGTGTACGTTTTCATATTTAGCGTTTTTTCCTGACTTTAAGTATGTTGCCATAATTCATCTTCATTGGTATGTTTATCAATATTTTAACAGTATTGGACAGAGATATTACGTTCCGAGTCTGTTTTGAACGACCTTAATCGAAACCTGTGTACAACCATGTATATCGTGCACATTCATGTAGACGCATATTGATATAGTATTAACAAAGTAGCCTTACTTAATTTTTAACAGATACCTGTTCGATATCATTTTTATCACGAAGTGCCAACTTTCATCACAACTATTTAAAAACGACACCATCACATGGGTAGGGTAGAGGGCTCAAATGACATTGAAAAAAGAACAAATTTATAGGAAACCATTTCTTTCTTATCCAAATAGATAAATATTGAACAATCTGCAATCGGATGCTGTGACGTCACAGTCTCGAACTATCCTTATATTCAAATCTAACTTTCATCCGCGAGTAGTACTCACCACTTCCCTTTCACTAGTGTATTTTTAGAGCGCCAACTGAGGCCAAAATTGTTTTACTTGATTGAATTAAGCAATGAAATAACAGATTTTACAGTGAAAATATAGTTGACATTTTTCTCCTGTCACAAATAATATTTCACACTTAAATCGCATGTTTTTATTGTCGTATTTTTCAAGTCGTCATTTCCGTATTGCGTATCGGGCATTCCATTACCATAGTGTAAATTATTATATTTACATTTGCATCGCATTGTCACTATATAGCCTATTTGAAAGCTGTGTCGTTGATGGGACTTTAATTACCATGCATCACGAGACACACTTCTTAGCGTATTAATACAACACTGACAGGTACTACAAAACCAATAAAAATAAACATGACGGCTGCTGAAATATCGCTTGCAGGGATCAATCTAGGTTTTAGGGGAAATTACCCTTTTTCAGATTTGGGGAAAATTAGAAAATTTGATACATGTGTGCAGTATATTTCAATTTTTAAACAATTTTAAGCTTAAAATTGTAGATTTTTTCGGTAAATTATGTGGAGAAAATGTGTATATGCAGTTTTATGCATTTTTACTGTTGAACTTTAAAGAAAACATCTACTGTATAGGGGGAAATATTTTGAAGAAAAACGGCTATTTTCTTGTTGAAATAGGGGAATTTCGAAGCACACGGGGAATTTCAAAGAACAGCGGAATTTTCTTCTGTAGGGGAAACTACCCATAAACGGTAGTGAATTAAGTCTAGATTGATCCCTGGCTGGGCATCGTGAGATTTGACAATGCCCGCATTGTAAATTTATGTGCAAAATAAAAAATAAAATAAAAAACACTTTTATTACATCGAAAACAAGACCAAAGTCTGCCATATCGTACAAAATGCACATCGGTTGAAATCACCAATGCCGGCAATGGAAACAATTTTAACGCTCATGCAATTTATCAGAAATATCGTCTGTTACACTGCACTGATCAACAGGGGTTCGTTACAAATGTCTGAAATACACATATTATATAGACCTACTGACACATATTTTATAGACCTACTGACACATATGTTACAGACCTACTGATATGAGTCACAGCACACATAAACATGTCAGACGTTTGTAACGAACCTGTGCTCCGTCGCAAGAACACTCACTTCAAACGCTATGTTTCACGCGTCTCGCATCCACCATTCCTCAGTTTCACAGTAATCACAGTAATCTTCCATCATTGGAAATCCCGATAGAGATTGTTGCGATGCCTCTTCTTTTTGTTTTAATCGCGTTAACCTTAACGCCTTCACTTGCGGTCGCGCGCATGCTTAATATGTAAAGTTTATTTACAGTTTATGTACACGTAATGTTCACTGTTTAATAAAAGGAAGCACTGAATTTCCTGGGATTAGTATTCCAGTGCTTGTTCAGTCGATGCTTAAACGTATTGATGTTTTCTGCGGAAACTACTTCCTCTGTAAGGTTGTTCCATATGTTGACAACTCTGTTGCTGAAGATGTTTTTGCTGATGTTTAATCGGAATGCTTTTTTGTAGAGCTTTTTAGAGTGCCCCCTTGTCGGGTTTACTTCCGGTCGTGCAAACATGTCGGGCCGTTAGTTTCTGACGACATGTCAAATAACAAGGAGTTATGGAATCTACCGACTGTCGTCAGGTTCCCATACAATCAACAAATACATTCACGCCTGGATTCTTCACAAAATGAGCAAAGAGAACAGTTCAAATTAACTTCCAAAAATAACTCCCTCGTGGAGGGCAAGGTCGGATTTACGGTGTTCACTGTATTTGTCCATGCGCGAAATTTGTTCCGGGGAAAAATCGAAACAATTTCAAATATAACTTTCAGCTCAGAGTTCTATTGATAAACTTAAATCACCCTATAGACATATCATAAGCAATTGTACTGATACTGAATTGTGGAATAGAATTGAAGTGTTTGTTAAAATTTAAAAGTATTACTTTGTTTGCCAGTCAGCACGCGACAATACGCTGTTCAAACTATTGAACGAAATTGTGTGGACTGTCGAATAGGCGGGCATTTTTAATTTTGAATATAAATTATAAGTAAAAAACGAACATAAGAGGCAGAGAAAACGTAAATATAAGTATTGAACTATTTTTTTTATGGTATTTAGGATCTATTTGAATGACGCAGCTTTGCAAGCAAAAAAATCATAATGCGCGAGCGCTTATTATGTTTGCTTGCAAAGCTGTGTCATTCAAATAGATAATAAATACCATACAAAAACAGTTCAATGCTTAAGTTACACCGGGTAAACAATAGTACACGTGCGTGACGTGATATGTTAACACCCGATATCGAGACTTAACTTGGAAATGTGCTTCAGAAATAAAGCTTATGATACAAAGACATTAATTAACTCACGGGAAAACACTGACATACGATCAGACGATTTCAAGAAGGTCGTATATGAGGCGCATGGAATGCAGACTGATGTGATTTGTTTACCAACCTCACCTGTACGTATCACGTGCTAACAGTAGTTCACAAGCTCTTGGTCGCTACGACTTTTGTTGTCGAGCGAGTTACGCTCTGTCAGATAAATCGGTTCACAAATGCAATTACAATAACTCTGTGAAAATAGTGGTTTGTAAAATATCAAGATCCCTTTAAAATGCAAGTGCATGTGCGTGCACGTAATAACAGCATACCATATGTACCTGACATGTTAATATACCATGCGTAAGCAGGCTATGGAATGATGTCCAAAGTGTATATGATTGAGAGTAAATTTGTTCCATAAAAGAACAGTTAATTGACAAATAAATATAGTTATTGAATTTATTTCCGTCGTTTTTGGTATATTAAATAAAATAAGTGTCACTGTATAAATTCTATCCCTCTGCCAAAAAGTTCCGATTTTTTTCAAGGTAGACAACTCTAATCAGGATAAAAAAAATGTATAAATAAATTAATTATAAAGACTTTTTTCACTCTTTTTGCATGAAACTATGTGTCCTGTTTCCTTTTGGCTCGTATTTAGTAACTTTTATCCATATAGTTTCAATAAAAATGGCTTTTTGTAACACGTTGTAGATATTTTATGATAGATACAATATTTGTAGGGTTGATTAGCAATGTTTCTTTTCATTATTTTATTGTTGTTATAGTTTTGAACAAAGCCACACGCTCAAAAAATGTGGAAGTGTTGAATTTGACAAAAAATGAATTTTTCGGAATTTTTTACCAAAAAAATCACAGTTTATCGGAATGCTTAGATTTTCATAAAATTATCTCTCCATGGTGACATAACCATCATGAGAAACTTTCATTGAATTCTGATGGCTAACTGCGAAAGGGTGGAGCCTCCTTAACCATCCAATCTGAGAGCAGGTTTAGTGTGAAATAACAATTATTCGAATCTGTTTATAGAAAAGTATCTTTAATATTTCAGCAACTTCCTCAGTCCGCAAACCTATCGACAGAAAATGCACCCGAACCCTTGTTCGATTTAGACCTTGACCGGAAGTATATGTGTCCTGTATGCCTTTGTGTCCTGAAAGATCCTATGCAGACCTCTTGCGGACACCGCTTTTGTAAGGCGTGCATAACGGGAACATTCGCCCTGCCGACGTAAGTATGTAATTGCAAACTGTCAATAACTAAGATAGAATATTACCTAAAATCAACTAAAATACTGTTTACTTCATGCGTGGAAATGTATCCGATAATCCACAATTAAGAATAAAATATCACATGATCGCATGCATGACCTTAACGGTGACAATTAGTAAACCAGATTATGATCACATACATTTGACCGATGAAGATAATTGACTAAAGACATCACCTAAACGTTCACACGTACATGCAATCAGTTCACTGATTGTGCTATATGATGATCGCCTGCACAGGTGATGGTACAATGTACTTAGAGCGAATAATTAGATAACTCAATACGCGACCTTTTGATCGCTTGTCCGAGATGGCCTTACGTGTATAATATATGTTACTCTTAAATGTTTAATAAATTGCATGACTGTTCTACGTTCAAAAAGAGCATCACATCGCCATTGTATTGGGTCATTGGAAATATTCTATTTGGAATCGCCAATTTGACGTAAGATGGAAAGTTGGATTTTCAGATCAAAATTAAAAAGGCTTCTTTGTAGAAGCAGTTGGGCACATGTAAGGAAACTATTGCTAAATATTGTTTTACTGGAGCGTTTATAGTCTGAGACTGTTTTTCGCGTTTCTGTGAGAGCTATCTAGGATGTTTGGATAGTGCAAGCGATAATTAGCCTTTGGTATTTGTGTTTGATTTCTGTATACGCATGCCATACATGAGTGTATATCCGCGTATTTGTTTTCAACACTTGGAGATGATGTGTTTACTGTTATTTTCTATTTGTCTATCACTTTGTCATTTTAGAGTCCGAAACAACACCCGGGTACCGTATTCCAGGTGTCCTGTGGATAACACGTACTTCCACATCGAGAAAGAGGTAAGCATAAATGTCGTAAAAACTACTATTTTGTTCTGGTGTTGTTAAAACTACTTGTAATAGACCGATCTTTTGGTGTGGCCGTTGACATGATCCAGCTACGCACTATTCTTGTTCAGAACAAAGATATGTGTCTGTAATGAAGTTTGACGTAGGATATTATAATTTCTACAATACAAGCATTGCAATGCACTATACAGGCTAATTCTAATGAACTGACGGTTCCCGTCCGTCCGGAAGTCTGTCTTCACCATGTACATTGTTCAGAAGAATTACCAGTTTCCAAGTTACTACATGTTCCGTATACATTGTAAGTCCGAAGTGATGCCTGTCTCCTTTGCCCAATGACTATTTTTTACAGGCAATGGGTATATCGGACTAAGTCAGTATCAACTAAACTTGGCTTATATACTGTATGCTACTATATGTTTTCAAACTATATTTTTAGTATTAGGTATAGTGATCTTAGTCAGGGCCGAGACTAGTGACTTTTTCCAGCTTTGTCAAAAATATGACCTCATATTAATGACTAAACGTTTCTTTTCTGTTGTCAGTTATTTCCCGACAATGCCATCAAGCGGGAAGTTCTGTCATTAAATGTCCGGTGTCAAAACGTCCTAAATGAATGTGATTGGAGCGGAGAACTCCGGAACTACAGCGAGGTGAGTGGACAGTGAGGGTTTTGGTCATTTAGCTATCGTGAATATTTTTCTATATTTATTTTTAGGGAAAATGATTTCATGAGACCGAGATTTCTTATAGTTCACAATTATCTCGAACGCTGATGTGTAATTAGTCGGTCATGTAGATTATTGATTTACATAACAGTCATCTTGGAAATCCAAGGATTCCTCTGCGGAGTATAAAAATTTAAAGCAAAGCCCTGGATTTCTAGGATGAATACCTGTACGGACGGCCCAATGAACGACATTGGGCGTTACTATTTGTTATATTACATTACATGGGTGGATTTGGTCGAGTGGTTAACACTTCGGCCTTCCATGCAGACGGCCGGGGTTCGATCCTCGAAGTCGTCGTACGCATCGAATATCAGAGAAAGTGTTTTTCTCCTGCCAACACAACTCCAACAACCCAGCTTGAGTATAAAATGGTGTGAGGTGGATGTTGCAGTATCTGTGATGTTAGCATTCAAGTGAGGTGGCACTTTAAAGGGGCATCACGGTGAAGTAATTTCTATGCCTTTTTTTTCAAATACTACATGAATATATCAAGTGAGACTCCTTATGGAAAAAAACGATCGGAATTGACTGAAATAGATTCATAAATATTATTAAATCTAAGATAATCATCGGTATTTCCACCTGTCTGACCAACGTTTGGTTCAGGGATTTCCCTTTACGAGTGCGTGCGCATAGCACACAATTTCTTTGTAAACAAAATGACTGTCCGTGTGAAGTAAGTGAAAGAAAAGTGTTGTACCGTCACAGCTACTACGCGAAAAAATGCCAAATGGTCGAAAGATGGCGCAAGGAGTACGTTACGGAATCGTTATTGCAGGCTGGAAGTATTCAAAAGAGAAAATAATTGTTTATGTTATGAATAAATATCTAAAACTATTAACCTCGGTAGTATCTTTGTCCGAGTTTGAACACAGATGAACTCAGTTTAATATGTTAATGGACATGTATCGGAGAGAGGTTACTTTGTGTTTCTATAATTATACAGTGGTTTATGCGAAAGGATAAGTGAATGGTTAGTTTGATTTTGCCATGAGGCCCTCCAAGGGATAACTGTTGTGATGGCCACGGCGTATTCTGTTCTCTCCTCTGTCGGTACTCGGGGTCCTTTTGAAAAAGGATATTAGTCTCGCGAATATTCCTTTTTACAGAAAGGTCAAATGAGATACGTGCGCTATTAGATTAACATAATTTATAATATAAATAAAAAATCGTATGATTTAATTATATTGCTGAATTGAACGATTTTTTGTTGTTTTTACATGCAAGATTTAAATTAGTACTAATATGAATAACTTTTTAATTTTTCAACAGTTCATGTTTTCATATGATGTTGACTTAGAATGTATGATCATGTAACAACCTTTTCTCTATAAAGATTTAATTTTCTACTTCAGATAGAATCGGAATACGTATTGAAAACAGGGGGAAAACATTTGTTTACAATGTAAAAATGACGCGTGCTGCCGATAACTACGACTTCTGTTTCGGACTAAAAAGAAATGATTAAAGAATAGTTGTCTCAGCATAAAAAGGACCATTTCCAAGAATGCTTTAATCTATGTAAAGTATTGAAAAAATATAATTATCAAGTATCTCAAAACGTTCCATACCTGACACATATTATACATGTACACGTAGTGGTATTGCTATACAGTTTAGTGTGTGTGATGGCTTAGCTTATATGACTTACCAATTATAAGTGTTAGCGTATGGAGACAGTGAAAGTAGGAAAGAGAGTATACATAAATGAATATGCATGGTCTAGAAAAACAAAATGGCCAAAGACATTGAGTTGTTCAATGCAATAAAAAAAAAAAAATCACAAACGTTTCTCTTTTTTATACGCGTGTATTTTGTCATTGCATATATGCATTTTATGAAAACATTTGAAAAAGGATATTAGTCTCGCGAATATTCCTTTTTACAGAAAGGTTTGTCCCATGGTTCAAAGAGTGTTTAGCCCCGTACCATATGTACCGGTCACATTCCGGTAATAAATTCAATATATATTTATATATGTTTACTTTATGTGTATGCCAATTATCATTGTTGATATTTAATTGTAAATGTATAACGGGAGAAGGCTGTGATAAATTGTAAAAACTTGTGCCCCATCCCTTGTTCAATTTTATTGGCAACAAATATGTTTAAAGCTAAATAAATTTAAATTCTGAATATTGGCAAGAGTGCAATTAATTCTGACGATGTATAATTACTGTTCAATGAGTTTGAATACGGACTTAAAAATCATATTACTTGGCGTCATAGTGCGGTAAGAAGTTGCAGTTTCGCTCAGACCACTTGTGTTTACTGCCTAGTCAGGTGACGTTATCGGCGCTATTTTAGCAGGGCTTTCCCGAACAATTCAGGTGGTCAAACTGGACATCTGAAACGGACTATGAATATGGGAATAGCGAGGTAACATAAGTGGAAGTGCATGCAATACATACATTCATTAAAAAAATATGACTCTTCACGTGATGTTCCTTTAAAAGATGCCATTGGAAGCACGGTCCCACTAAAACAGAACACAATACAGATGTAAATCTCAAGCACACACGCAAGCATACACACATAGGGAGATATTAGCCAGGTGGCATAGGACTAGTAGTTAGCGCCTGATAAGGCAGCTCCTGCGAATTCCTAAAAAAAATGAATTAATAAATGTATATGCTAGTTGTATTAATTGAATATCTATATACTGTAAAGCGCTTTAGAGTGGCTTATGTTGTATATTATTCTTATTCTTATGGTGATGTGGACATATTACGTGATTGATTGTTTCAGCACGAGGAGCAGTGTAAGTACAAGGTGATTGCCTGTGAGAACGGCTGTGGAGTGCGAGTGATCCGCCAGGAGATGCCCCACCACCTGGAGGGATGCTCCCTCAGGATCGTCTTCTGTCCCCACTGTCAGAAACAAATGACCCACAACATCATGTCGGTAAGGATATAAACTATCAGAGTGTTACCAAATATAAACTTCATCTACATGCACTGTATATGGATGGAATACGTTATCCATCAAGACGTACAGGAACATTTTTTTGCAGCAGAGTTTTGGGAGCGAATTGCGGCATTTGACTCAGCGATGTAGAACCGGGCGCCGGGATCATGAAACAATCTTAGACATACATATTTTGCTCAGTCAATCACTTATGATGTCACTTTTCATGACGTTATCTGTGATTAGCTAAGTCAAAACAAATTTAGACTTAAGATCGTTTCATTAACCTGTGTCCTGATGTCGATTTATTTTATTTTATAACAATACGGAATCTACAAAATACGTATTTGGTTTTCGATGTCTAAAAATATGTTAACACCTCTGGTTTTACATCTGAACAAAAAATCCATGGTTGTCTTGTGTCCAACTTATGACCCGTTTTCATATTATCCGTTTTGTTGCAAGGATGTCAAAAAACCATGAAACCATGTCTTAATCATAACATCTCTCGTAAATTATACGCGTATCTATCGTAACTTAAGAGTTACCTCCCATTGAACGGTCAGCAAACGAGTTTCGTTATCTTTTTGCTGAGCCTCCGTACACCGAATCCCAGTCCGATATTTACCCTCGGAGTAATATTGATCGCCCGAGTCTATATATAGAAATGCCCATACATACTTCTTGTATGATTTTTTTATCAACATAAAAACACCAGATCTAGTGTGTCAGTTATTACTATTCTCAACTCTTGCAAAAAAGCTCACTAGAAACTCAGAAATTCTCACATTTAAATATTTTCTACCTCTATATGCAGTGTGATAAAAGAATGTTCACACGCGTTATTTCTTTATTTCTAACACAGAAACACGAGGTGTTGGTGTGTCAAAACTTCCCCGTCCAGTGCTTACAGTGTGGTCAGGTTGGGATGAAACGCAAAGACATCGGCAACCACATGAACAAGGAGACAGGAGATTGCCCCATCACCATCATTGATTGTCCTTTCCGTGTGTACGGCTGTCAAGTTACCGTAAGTTTCATGGAGTTGAGTAAGACAAAAGGAACCCATTACGCTTTACACTGGGAAAATTCAATGTTTCGGAAGTCTATTTATATCTATTGAATATTTGGTAGTTTAATCTATGTTAGACTATTCATATGTATATGTAGTTTCCTCTTCAATATTCTATGAGCTAGCTACAGAACCATGAATAATTGAATCAGTTTTCAAGTTTTGGCACTAAACATTTGTGATTATTTTCCGTAAGGTGAACACTTCAAAAAGTGGCAAAATGCATGATAGATCCGAAGTTCCAAATCGGTAGCTTAAATTTTATATTTGTCAGAAAGGTCAAATATTCGAATAATTTGAATGTGTTGAGAAAGCAGTGTCCCAACTTCACATTGACTGATAGGTTTGTCTGTAGAAAAACTGATACTTTTATCCACATGATATGTATGAGCCATATACACGTACATAAATAACAGTAGTGACCTACCAACAGCTGTACATTTGAGGTATAGCACATGCCCTTCTTCATGTAACACTTGGGAACTCAACAGCCCGCATTTAATAACGTGTGCTATCTGAGACATTACAATAAAATACATGTTGGATTGTGTATGCATTTAAATAAATAAAAATAGGTACGTTTGATATGGGGATGCCATTACTACAGTAGTACTAGCACTGCTCTTAATATCAGTACTTTTATGTTGTTGCTTAACGTAAAACACCTTTTAATGTCAAAAATTAACATTCTCATGTATGATTGATTTCAAACAGTGTATTTCATGAGTAAATAGTGATTAAAAACTATATATATATGTTTGCAGACCACGAGACTATGTATGGCGTCCCACTTACAGGACAGCTGTCATACCCATCTCTCTTACGTTATGGCGCACGTGCGGACACAGGATCGACATATTGCCCAGTTAGTAAATGAAATAACAACGATCCGTCAGGTACTTGGTCAGCAGACGGAGCGATGTCCTACCGGCGATATACACGGAAATGGACAAGACAATGATATTTTGTGATAAATGAACAGGTTTTTAACCTTCAATTCGGACTATCAATAGTGGGCACTTTTATGATACTGGAACATTTACAGAGATATTTTATTTTTATTTTAGAGATATTTTTTTATTATCAGTCAGGCACACTATTGTGCGCAACAAGAGGTCATCATAAAGTACAATATAACAATGATATGGTTGACCGTAAAGCACTCATCTTACTATGCTAGCGTACAATAATATAGTGGAAACTATTACACTCCTCATACAATGATAAACACACTATTACACTGTTCATACGTACTATCATACCTTGTTATAATAGACAATATAACGCACTGCTCATGCAATGACACTCATCATACACTGTGATATACATTATTACACTCATTTTACAATACTATTACGATGGTATAATACATAGCAATACATTTACACATACCGTTCGTTCACACAGTGGTATAGCAGGCACTGTTGCATCCATCTTACAGTACAATCCTACAATAATATTATAAAAGTATTACACATATATTACTCGCACTCCATGATACATATATTATAGATAGTATACCACACTATACAGTGCAATCATACCATGGCATAATAGTGACTATAATACTCATCATACCATATAATATTACAAAGGTATAATAGACAGTGTTACAATCCCATCATACAATACTGTAATAGACAGATAACAAACAAACCATGATAAGCAAGCTGTAACCACACTCATTATGCAATACAATTATGTTAGGTTTAGCAAATGATCAGTAATATCTATATGTATACAAAAGTTTACAGTTTGATGTGTGAAATTCACATATTATTTTTTAATTGTCTTTCTAGTAATTGTATGAACAGCGATAGATTTGATAATATTCTAACATTACATATTGATATTAATCCTTTCATTTTATGAACAGATGGATTAGAGGTATAATAAATAGGTATATATTTTCTGCGGATTTGACTTACATAATCATTTGAACATATAAACAAATAATGATACTCGCTTACAGCAAAGCGGACATATTCTGCCTTCACGTGGTGTTCTAGTCCATTGCCCAGTCTCTATAGGCAGAGATGTATTACTGGTTCTGAACTTACAGATAGTTATTCTATCTTTTTGTAAACGACACTACTAACACAGTTACATCACGGTAGTGAATGAGATGATTAGGGGATTATGTCGTACAGTTACCTTGCTATCAAAATATCTTTGAAGTGAACCAGTATACAGCTACATTTTTTTTTATTTTTTCCGTTGTCATACAAATATCAGCAATATCTGGTAATGAATTCTATCAGTCCTAACTTGAAAATGATAGGATTATTTCGAAAATCACGAATACAAATTGAAGGTGTTTTTTTAGACAATTAAACTGTCTTTTTAGCAAGCTGCATGTACTTCGGTCAAGATTTACTGACCAAAGAAACGTTCCGATGAATGATTATTTGTTAGATTAATTAAGAGCATTTAAAATAGATACTGTCTAGTGTGACGAGTGAAAATCAGTCTTTTGGGGACATAAAATAATTCGGGAAAGAGGGGGGGGGGGGGGGGGGGGTATTTTTATATCTAAATGCATGTAACTGCAGCTAGAAAAGGATTTAATTCAATCGCCTGTAGTTGAATATGAAAAGTAAAGAAACAGACACACGATTGAGTAACACATTTTTATATCATTGCGGTACTTCAATGATTTGTCCCAGTTTAAAGAAATAAACCAAGTGCGAGTCAAGACTGTGTTTTTGTCATTAATGTAGTAACATGAAACCTCTTTAATCGTCAGCTAATGAATTATTCAAATTGCTTTTCGTTTGCATCCCCTGACGTCACAATCAATCTTATCACATTTTCATTTTGTGGAAATTAAATCAAAATACTGCATTTGCCATTTACTAACGTTTAACACAAAAAAATACCTGGTTCAGTGTCGTGTGTTAACCATTTCAATACACATCACGAAGAGTCGTAGTACAGTACCATACATACCAGAATGTGACGTCATAAAATACCATCTCCTTTACACACCCTTAAGGAAATCTGGCTCATGTTATTCAAAATAATTAACTTTTTATCATATATACATTTTTAGATGCATATGAATGTCCTCTTTCAATTAAAGCCAAAAATAACAAGGGTCATAGTGCTAACTATTTTAGTAGCAGCCTATTTTGGACATACTGTTGCGGCCATGTTGGTTTTGCACAATATACCCAACCCCACCCATTTTTTAACAATTTTTTGAAGTTGACCATTCATTTTAACTTTAACCTAAATATATGAATATTCAAAGTGAATAAAAAAAATGGCATGTCATAGTCGAAATGGTTTTTTTGATGACATTTGAAGTCAAGGGACGCTTGTGGCCAAAAATAGAATTTTTACTTTTCTAATGGAGTTTTGGTCGGGATGACTTAAATCTAATATCAACGATAAAAAAATGTTGTTTCTTTCAGATGTTAATGTTGAAATATAATTGACCCAGACCCAGATAAAATGGACAGATAATAGTAAATCTATGTTTAACATTCATGTTTTAAAGTTAAACAAATAACAAACATACATGTAATATCAAAAACCATACCAATTGTATTGCACCAGGAGGACATTTTGACAATTGGTCTCTCTTCAGGCCAAAATATTAAAAAAAAACACAAATACAAATGTTGAAGGACAAATCAAATCAAAAGGACTTTTTCTATAGCCAAATCCCTTAAGTACAAAGGCTGAAAAGGTAGACAATGCTTAGCATGTCATGATATGTACTAAGTTTCAAGGTGATTGGACTTTAATTACATCATCAAATACTACCTTGACCAAAACCTTGAAATGGACAATAAAAGCAATAACTCATACAAGGAGTTATTCTACAACTTTAGACTTTCTGAACAGCTAATTGCCATTATTTAACATTGTACACTTTACAGACTATTTGAAAGACATCGAAACATATTTGCTCTCGCTATTATCATTTTCAAATCAAAGCTTCAATCTTCTTACTCATATGTGGACCAGTCTTTGCTCTTACTCCTTAATGCTGTGTGTTTTTGTGTCAAGTCTCCAGAAGTTGTGATTTGCCAATGATATCATTGCATTTGATGTTTTTAAAAATATTTGGTATTAAAAATCCCTGCATTGTATGTTTTGAAAATCACATTGGAATTATTAAAATGGGTATATTTACTCGAATGTTAATCTCATTTCCTCAATTCTTCATTCTTCAGTAGATTTGTGTGCCAAGGTCTCAAGTGCATCACCAGTTTCCCTTTGCCTTCTATCCACCATTGCCTGACTAACAGCAGGTATATTGAGAGCTGTCAAGATGCTGTTTATTTGTGTTGTACCAATTCCAGCATGAAGCACACCTATAGAATTAATAAACAATATGAGTTATACCTGTAAGTTTGTAAATTTAGGGAAAATATAAACTTCTAATTATGTTATTATTAAAAAAAATCACTAGCACTTAAGATTATTTAAGGAAAGAGGTATGGCGGAAAACTGTCCATATTTCCCTAAGTCGGCATTTATGAAAACGGGAAAACAAATTAGGGAATAAAACATTTCGGGTATCAAAAATGCATACAAAAGATATAGAACCAATTGAATATGAATTTTTAAACTGTTGAGAAATTAGGTATTGCTAATATGATACTGCAAATATAGCCATATACGCTATATCTATGAAAGTGATGGGGTTTCCCGGACTTAAAAACATACTTTCAACACTTTCCCATCTGAGGACCAACTTTTGAACACACTTGTTGTGACCGTGATGTAATATGCAAAAACAAATCGTATTTTTACGGAAAAGTGCTCCTCCTTTGGGAAGTGCTCAAAAAATGAAAAACAGAGTTGATCCAGTCTCTCTAAACTGCGACAGGTGTTTCTAGGGTTAAATAAGTTTGTAATTGCCAATATCTATATGTTCTATGTAGCCGAATGTGTAACGCAGTTTACTTGTGACTAAAAAATAAACTGTGCAGGTTCGAATCCTCCCTCAGGTTTTTTTTCTTTTCTTTTTTAAATATTTAGGCATGTAATCATTTCCCTTAATAAAGCAATATTTTGTTTTTCAAATCGATGGAAAATTTTGTTTACATTTTAATAACATACCTATTGATTTATCAGTTTTGTTAGTAATAATTTCGTTACTATTTAGTGCGACATGCGGATTATCGCCCGAGACCGGATACTTTCTCAGAACTCATTCTGAATGCTACCGATTTACCGAACACAGGTAGTAGTGTTAAAAATTAAATCCGTTCAAAACTGTTTCGTATAGATTGCACGATCTTGTATTACATATAAGCGTATATTTTGTTATAAATCAATATAAAAAAACGTGAAATAATCATTGTGTTGAGCCTTTATCGTTAAACGCATGTATTAATACCCATGGCCTTAAATTCGTCTGTTTACAATAATCTATTCTTAGACAAAGGATTCCGATATAGCTACGTATACCTGTCTAAAAATACCTGATGACGCGTCATAACAGTTCACGGTTGGATGCGCGCACTAGCGTAACATAACTTTGGGGAAATAGGCATAGCAACCCGCCATACCTCTTTGGTGTACTCCACATCAAAGGAATATGATGCTATGACTACTAGAAAATAATTCTTATGTCTACCTTGATATATATGTTTATGTTTACCATGATGGTATCTAAATTTTCTCGTGAGATAATTCAGTGCCAAAATTGGTAAAAAAATACATTTCAGGGACAATAACTTCCTATAAATTAGCCATATAAAAAACCCCATTAATTTTGGTAAGAATAAGCAAGCAGATATTAGAATATGTTAAGCGGTTGACGATCATTATCTTTTAACCATAAAGAATATTGTATGCAACTAATATGTGGCGTTCTGAGCATGCAGGTTTAAAAAAAAATATGAATTTTAAGAATAGAAAAACTTTCTCTGTTCAGGGCTACCCAGGAAATGCTTGCAAAAATACTAAGTTCTGTTCTTTAGACCCTGTACCGGATACATAAGTCTGCATGTACATATAAAAAATATTGTGTTTTTCCCAATGCACATATGAATATTTTTTTTAGGTTTGTACACTTGCTTATTTTAAAGCTGTTTACCCATTATATGGACTTTCAGTATTTTCATCTATTATCAAAGTATTTTTAGCATTCTG